AGAATTCCCCAGCCAGCAAGGCTGGCTGGGGAATTCTGGGAGTTGAAGTCCACACGTCTTCAGGTCACCAAGGTTGAGGAACCCTGCTCTAATAGTCTAAAAACTATAAAATAATGGTATATTGTGAGGTTTCAGCGGTCAAAAGCAATGACAGCATAACGCTAGGAAATGCCACGGGGAGTTCCAATAATTAATCAAACGCCTCAATTAATAAATGTAATAATTGTTTTACTCCAAGGGAGGGAGAGAAGCTAGAGCGGTCCCGCTTATATTCCTGTTTTCGTAGTCCGATGGAACGCTTTCTGCCTCTTTTACTGCCGATCAGATTGGCCTCCTCAGCAGCCAAGCGCATCGAAATGAATACACTTCATGAAAGATCAAGCCTTCTGTTCAGCAATTCTGCTCCCTAAACCCCAATTCTTGGGTTCCAGCCTTGGGGAATGCTAAGCCCACGTGAATCCTCAAATCGGAAGCGTTCAGTTCAGACTGTCGGTTCGATCGGATGTTTAAAAAAGATTTGCCTGCCGGTGGGCCAAAGACCAGCTTGAACCCCGGACGCATCGAAGCAGTTCAGCCATTCAATCCCATTTCAAACCTTGCCCGATCCTAAAAGATAGGTCTTTTGCACCAGGTTCCATCCTGGCCGAGGATAATGGGCGTTGGGTTCAACAGAAGGAGAGGAAGGGCAAGATGACATCACACTCATTGTGCGAACATGGCAAATGATTGCAAACGTGCTGAGGCAAGAGCCCAAATTTCCATCTTTTGCATCATGACATCATAACGGGGTGATGTGATGTCACCTCCCCCTTTCCTCCTCCCACGGATGCCCACAGCTGGACCCCGTTTCAGATTTTACCCGCCAAATAACCCTCCACCATTTAATTCCCATTCTTTCTCAATTGCTGTGAATGCTTCCCTGAGTCCATGATTGAGAATATATTCATCAGAATGTATATTAAGTGTTCTGATCTATTATCACAGGTGAATTAAGTGTCATGAGCGAAGGGCATGTAAACTCTGTCGATATTTTAATTAAAATCGGACACCGGAGGGGGCCAGGAGGGAGTTGGAGGAAGCTGACTGTGAAATGCAAACACAGAGAAGTGGTAATTCATTCAGGGCAGGGCTTGGACTTCTCCTTGTTCAACCAGCTAAAGCAGGGCACAGAAGCAGAAACAGCAAGCTGATATACAGCCCCCCAAATTTGGCATGAACTCCCACACTCCTTCCCTGGGCGACTGTCAAATTCTCACTTTTAACTTGACAAGAGAGAGAAAGGATGACCCCTCTGCAGGGAATAATTGCATGATCCGTATTAACCTTATTCTGAAGTAGAATGAAATGCTTTTCCCCTGCACCCATCCATTTCTCTGAGCTCAGCTCATCTTTCAGGAGCATAGCTGCAGCACGCCATTCAAAATCCAAGCTCAGCACAGGGGTGTTTGCAGGACAGGGCTTAAAAAAAAATACATTGCACTTTTTAAAAGGGCTCGCTCAGTCAGGACTGCCATCTTGACTTTTTTGACCCCTGTCGAATGCCTCTGGGGGTTGCATAGTCCTGGGCCTAATATATTTGTTTATGCAACTTTCACTTGCAGACTCAAATAACTGGGCCCACATCTTGGGGAGCATCTTTCCCTAAGCCCAAACCAAGACCCGCCACTCAAAGCATTTGGATACACAGCCCCCCTTTCATCTTAGCACTGAATCCTTCAAAGAGTTTACCATCCATCTTCCTCCTAGGCTCACCTTTATCTCTTATTCCCCCCACCAAATCCACTATTCTTCACAGCTTCTCTTTTGTCCAACAGTTTAAAGAAAAGATCAGATTTCACAGCTCTGCATCAAGCGAGCGTTAACGCTCTAGTGGACACAGCATCTATCTAATCGCAGCTACTCCCAATAAGAGGAGATGCGCTGCAGATCGTGTGACAGTGCTGCACAGTCCAATGTGACTGGCACCTTCCCGTAGAATTGCCCCTCCTTGACTCGACAAAGTCAAAGCAGGCCAATTTGATCAGCTGGAGACTTGGCACGAGACATGCACAGAAGACCCTTTGCACGCCTGGATCAAAGGAGAGGCATCTCTTCGTTCCAGCTCTTGAAAGGGAGCGATGCTTCGGTTCCGTCTTTCATGTGGACCGGTGCTTTAGCAAACCTTCCAAACGTTGCATGGCCCTTTCTAAATGTGCAAGGAGATCTGTTTAAAATAAAAATGAAAATCTCTGCATGGACACGTTAAGCCAGCCCGCACGCTTCTCTTCTTTTACCATCGTCCTGTTTCTGGGTAGAGAATGTAGGTAGCCCCTAATCATACAGGGCTCCCTGCTGGGGGGTTCCTTTAGAGCTAGCCCCCCAAAAGGAAGCAGAGAAAGGGAATTGAAAGGGAAGGAGGGAGAGTAGAAAGAAACCCGTGATCTCGCTTGCAAACTGTGAAATTCTGTGTCAAGCACCAGCTTCCACCTATGCAGGAAGATGCAGAGAGAAAGAGAGAGAAGCAAAGGAGGGGAAGGATGGTGTGAGAAATCCCTCCAAGGCAATTAACACCTCTCTGAAGAGCCCAATTCTTCCAAAAACAGCTCACGTCAAAGCATGTCAAAGCATGTCCGTGCAGGAAGAGAGAAATAGAAGCCAGGGTTCCATTTTGTACAGCTTTGCTTCACACATACCTAAGTATAATGGCGTTTTGCTCCAAGCAGGGCATCCATGGGGGGTGGGTGTGTGTGAAAAAAGTCAAGATGGCAGCCACGACTGTGCAATGGAAGCCCGACCCCTTTTTTCATGCCATCTTGACTTTTTTGACATCTTCCAGTACTTGCCTCTCCCTGAGGAGCTGTAACCTGTTGGAGCAGAAAAACCCAGGGCTTAAGTAGGTCAATGGAATGACAAGCCAGTGCAGTGCCTGGTTCACACAACACGCTGAACCCATCTTAACAAAACCCAACTGCTGTCTTCACCCATTCTGAGATGCCCAAGCAGCTATGGCACCACTTTAAGAAGTGTGGACTTCAACTCCCAGAGATGTAAGCTTTAATCTCAGGGTAGAAACTCAGTTTTCCTCTAGAACAGTGTTTTTCAACCCTGGCAATTTTAAGAGGTGTGGATTTCAACTCCTAGTATTCCCTAGACAGCATGTTTTAAAAGGTGTGGACTTCAACTCCCAGAATTCCCCAGCCAGCATGCTGGCTGGGGAATTCTGGGA